TGTACAGTCAGCACCAAAAGTCGATGAACAGAATCAACATTACAAAACACCTGTTCACAATAAAATGCCATAAGTTATAGTCGCAACTAGGAAACAAAATAGCCTGTACACTAGAAATTTACAAAAGTCGTTACACACGACTATTTCAGAAGTATCTGTGCACTAGTATTCCTAAAGTCGCTGTACACCATCAATCCAAATGTCGCTGAACACCATTGTACCAAAAGTCACTAAACAGCAGTAAAGATAAAATTAGGTTAACAAAGTATATTTTTAATGTTGCCGTGTGTTAATATACTTTTGACGCTTGTGTTGTTCAGTTACTTTTAGGACAATGTTTGCTTGACTTTAATAATGCATGTTAACACCTTAGTATCTATTTCAATATCTATTTACAAAATTATGTATATTTTATTGTCAGTAGTCATCCTTACTCCTTACTATATAATATCCTTACTTAATATTATAAATGGGAAAGTGAGTTTGTTTGTTTGTTTGTTTGTTCCACTATCACGCCGTAACTACTAAACCGATTGCTTTGAATTTTTGCAGACGTAAAGTTAAAAGTCCGGATTAAATAATAGGGTACTTTTTAACCTTTTTAAATTTGATATTCCCGAGGGAAAACAAAAGTATTGGTATAGATGGCGCTGTGTGTATTGGTATATGTCATATAGGCTACTTTTTATCCTTTTGTGACGCGAGCGAAGCCGCGGGTAAAAGCTAGTATAATATTATAAATGGGAAAGTGAGTTTGTTTGTTTGTTCCACTATCACGCCGTAACTACTCAACCGATTGCTTTGAATTTTTGCAGACGTAAAGTTAGAAGTCCGGATTAAATAATAGGGTACTTTTTAAACCGGAAAAAAAATATATTCCCGAGGAAAAACAAAAGTATCGGTATAGATGGCGCTGTGTGTATTGGTATATGTCACATAGGCTAATTTTTATTCTTTTGTGACGCGAGCGAAGCCGCGAGTAAAAGCTAGTACTAATCTATATTATATATACGCTTACGTCAAAATAATCGCTTTGTTTTGTGACGGTACTTGTAATTTACTTTGCGCGAATCTTACAAAACCTACCTGTACCTACATTCAAGTTCATCCTTATTACATGGGACTCATAATGTAATAGGGGAGTCCCATGTAATAGGGGGTGAGCCTATTGCCATATACCGGGCACAATTCCAGACTCCGTGATACTACTGAGATTTTTTTTTAAACTCAGTAGTACTTTGCCCGACCCGGGAATCGAACCCAAGACCCATTTGTATTGCGGCCCGGCAGTTGTATTGCGACCACTCGGCCAACGAGTGGACTATTATTGTTATTGTTTGTAAGACACTGCTAGTATTGCCACACCAGTGCAGCAGTGGCAAGAAAAGAAACCCACAATAATTGTGTTTAATTAACCAGTTTCCTGTTCCCACTGGAGTTATGTCTTTGTGCCACTCTTTATAGCTACTCATAGAATTTTTGGAATTTTCCAATTAATGCATTAATGTTATGTAAGGATGAACTTGAATGTAGGTAGAGGTAGGTTTTGTAAGATTCTCGCAAAGTAAATTACAAGTACCGTCATAAAACAAAGCGATTATTTTGACGTCAGCGTATATATAATATAGATTAGTATGATTACTGACAATAAAATATACATAATTTTGTAAATAGATATTGAAATAGATACTAAGGTGTTAACATGCATTATTAAAGTCAAGCAAACATTGTCCTAAAAGTAACTGAACAACACAAGCGTCAAAAGTATATTAACACACGGCAACATTAAAAATATACTTTGTTAACCTAATTTCATCTTTACTGCTGTTTAGTGACTTTTGGTACAATGGTGTTCAGCGACATTTGGATTGATGGTGTACAGCGACTTTAGGAATACTAGTGCACAGATACTTCTGAAATAGTCGTGTGTAACGACTTTTGTAAATTTCTAGTGTACAGGCTATTTTGTTTCCTAGTTGCGACTATAACTTATGGCATTTTATTGTGAGCAGGTGTTTTGTAATGTTGATTCTGGTCATCGACACGACTTTTGGTGCTGACTGTACGACAATATGCGTCTTCAAAGACACATTGACACTGCAAGAAGTTAATATGGTCGTTATTATTGATTTACAGTTTTACCGGTTTGTGAAACATCACAAACTATAGCAGTAATTTCTCATTGAATGGTTCAGTAAACGGATACGATTGTTTGTTAGTTTGATGCCATTGTCAGGCGTAGGGTTCTCACAGTTACCGCGTGAACTCCAGTTAGTTCCATAAAGTTCTTAGTAAGTGATAGATCAGTGAAAAATGCAGGCTTTATACATCATGTTTGTTTTTGGAATCTTTAAATGTAAGTCCAGTTGCGGAGTAAAGTAAAATGTAACTAGTGGCTCTGTAGATAGTGTTTAGTTTTATTTGAACAAACGGTTTTACGAATGAGATTTTTTAGGATTAGATTAGATTGGAAACTTTTTTTATATAGCTTCACCTACATAAGTAACTTTAGTTTTTTCTACTTCATGAGTAACCTTGAATGTAGTTGACGTTATAGTTATAATAAGGTATTTTACAACTAGTGAAATTCAATACTTTTATCGAAACGTGACGAAACGATATTGTTCTATGAATTTTGTACCAAAAACTAACTAATGACGTCATCATATTTTCTAGTCTATTTGACTTATTTCTGAAAAAAAATGCTAGAATAAATCGAAAATTAGGTAGGTATATCGTCAAATATATGAATGAAATTGTAAATATTTTTGAATTTTTTTTATGGCATAAGCCGGTAAACGAGCAGACGGATCACCTGATGGTAAGCAATCGGCGTCGCCCATGGACACCTGGAACACCAGAGGCGTTACAAGTGCGTTACTGGCCTTTTGGGGATCGTTAGGGATTCAGGGATTGGGCAGATTGGGGAAGGAAGGGTAATTGGACCTCCGGTAACCTCACTCACACGACGAAACACAACGCAAGCGTTGTTTCATGTCGGTTTTCTGTGTGAATATTTAATTGGATTGAAAAATGAAAATAATTTATTTTTGATTCAGGAAAATACCCAAGTGTAGTTTGAGAATTTTATCAATAAGGGAAAGTAATGACGTTGATATTGTAAGATGTAGATTCTTGGTATTGGAAATTGACCATTGTGCCTATCTACAACAACGGCATGTAGACAGATACAGATGGATCGGCAAGGTGCATGTAATGCCCCAAATGTTGCAAACATTTATTGCCTTTATAGCCGTGTGCTTTTTTGGTCACCGTCGTAGTATAATAAAAGATACACAATTATCTGGAAGACCAGAGGCGTTACAAGTGCGTTATCGGTCTTTTGGGGATTAGGAGTTTGAGGATCACTGGGGATTCAAGGATTGGGGAAGGGGGGGGGAGATTGGGAAGTCCTAGTATTGAAGATTATTCTGTCTATTATCTTTGGCACCCAAAATAAGAAGCGTTACGAGTAAATTACGAGTGCAATGTCCAAGCCAAGTTCTTTGTTTTAGTATTAAATGTTGTTAAAGTAATGTGACTATGACTACACTCGTGCCAACTGCCAACTACTACTGATTTTTTACATTTTGGCTTGTTGAGTAGACTTTAAAATATATGATGCCACGGTATGTTCGTGATTTTCACTGTCTCTGTTTTAAAATATAGCTAGGAAGTCTAAAGCTTCTCTTGAATTAGTATGATAGGCTTTTTCCTTCTTCTGTTTCGTTTTGGTTTCCTTGGATGGCCCTACGTAGTTTGGTAAGACTACTTTTTTCAGAATAAGTAGAACATGTATACCATTTATATGACTGTATATACATTTTTGCATCTAACTCATATAATCTAATTTAACATGTTTAATTTTTCATTGTTGCCCTCGACGTCGACTTCGTCCGCGTAGTAATTTGAGTATAATGGGCGGTCTTGTCACACGCGGCGATTTCTTCCAGACAACCTTTGGGTGGAATTTTTGAAAAGAATCTGGGAATGGGTGGTTAGATGCACAATAAAAAAAACAAAATTGAAGAAAAACAAAACAAAAAAAAACAAATTAAACAATCAATAAAACTTAAAATGATAAAAATGGGCAATACTATGTAATAAATATATACTTAAATGTAATATGATAACTACATATAGTTACGTGTGTCTGTGTGTGTGTGTAGAATATGATTTTTAGAACATAACTTTTTTATTCTTTAAATTTTCCAAAATGTAAGTGGCCTATGTTACTCCTTAGTACATCAGCTACCTGCCAAACAGACAAAAATTGTAAAACATGTTATTTTGATATGTGTATCGTATGTATGTATATTCATACGCATGTAGTAAACAGCGGTTATATGTATAAATATTATTACAAAGAGACACTCCAATTTTATTTATCTGTATGTATGTGTCTATAGAGATTATTTTATTCATTTCATTACAGATACAAGCAGTCAGTTTCTAACTATAGGAAATACTAGTAGAAAAACAGGCAAATCGGCATGCGACCCATCAGCCAAGTCTTCATTAGTGGAACATTTCTTCAACATCATATTCACGGAGTTCCACAATACACCACCAGTGTGCGTCTGTGTCCAAATGTGTCCAGAACAACCGACCTACTGTTACCCAAATGGATGTTTACGAAGATCACCTACTGAGAAAAACAAGAAACTCGATGTTCCATTACCAGTAACTCGAGTCAGTGAGAACACTAAACCTATTTTCTTTATTGACGAGAAAAATGATTTCATGAACGACTTTCTATCGAAGAACTATCTTGATGATGCTCCGCCGGCTTCTCCAAGTAAGTTCATTGATTGTAGACATTGATTCTTTTAGTACGATTCTTATAGCTGTTATCACCAAACACCCCTAAACAATATCTTAACTGCGAGTTAATTAAAGTGTGGGAGCCTAGAGTCTAGGTAGACTTACTCCTTACTTGTACTGCTAGATGTCACTTATAAGTTGTTGAAATCAAAAATGTCGTTAAGTGTCACCTAACCTAGCTTAGGATTCCTTAAAATTTAAGAGAGGTTGGCGAAAACGGGAATATGAACATTTTTTTATAATTACGGCGTACAAAATACTTATAATCGTTTTGTTTTAGCACCACCGTCGACAGAAAATACAATGGTAGCAAATATGCGTCCCGATCCCTTTAAAGACAGATACAAAATTCTCTTTAAATACAAGAAAATGCCGAAAGTAGAACTAAAATACAATCTAGGGGAACAAGTTAAGAATATGAAATCAGACATGTTGAAACCAGAAAGTGTAGATGTATCAAATACGAGATGGCCAGTGAATAAAATCGACCGTCGACTAGGTGGAAAGAGGAAAGTCCATAGTGAGCCACCCGTACAGAAAGGCTCAACTAATCCAAGATACTTCATGTCCATGTTTCCTGATAAACATGACATAGCGAGCTATCCACCAAAATATTACAAGCGAGAATTAGCCAATAACACACACAATGAAAGTGATGGAGTTGACATCAAAGCAATCTATGTGGTAGGAAAATCTGAATCAGAGAGCAACGTATTTTCATTAGAAAAACTAATAGACAGTTTAATCGAAAGCAGTTTCGATAACAATATAACTACTACACCTGAACCTACTACAGAAGCGGTAGAAAACAATACAGTTGTTGCTAAAAATAATTCAAATAACACTGCAGATAAAACGAATTCCAACAAACGTTCGATGAAGAATGAGACTATGCGTGTTATATCAATGAATTTAACAAATGAAAACATTGACAAGAATAAATATTCAGACGATGGCATGGCAAATAGCTCGATAAATATGAATGACATGATAGCAACTCTGTCGAAGAGAATAGAAATACAAAACAATACTAGTTTAGAAATGATGAGGAGAATAACTGGAGATTTCGAATTTGAATCGTTGAATACTACAACTGAGAAACCTATAGAAACCACAGAACATATAAATAATGAAGAAACCACTACTGAGTATGCTACAACAATGGCTACAGAGCACGAAACTAGAACAACTAGAAAGATAAGACAGAGAAAAGTTAGGAGACTTCATCATACAAAAACTAATTAGAATAAAATACCTTTTGTCTGTTTAAAGTTGAATCTATTTTGTATTGTTGGTATAATAATTTTTATTTTGATTATTGAAAGTAGTAATAAAAAGCAAGTTTCATTGTTAACCTACGGTTTTTTATTAAATATTTTTCCTTATTCACTATAGAACAAAGGGTCAGATTGACAGAAATACCCATTTTACAGATTTTTTTGTGACTTTTTATTCCTGAGATAGACAACGGAAACTTTGTTGAAAATCTCAGACATTCATATCAAGTGAATTAAAAATATCCATCAACAGCAGACCACAACATATGCATGGCGGTACACTGTACATTGAAGATCCTACACGAGATATAATTTACACTCAATACAAAGTCGGTAATGGAATAATATTCGACGCGAACGTGTTTTTCAATTACAGGCCAGAGTCAGCGTAAATGGGGCAAGCACAAAGAGAATACGTGACGTGTCAAGTATTTCAATACCTTTGCTTATAACGCGAGGTATTACGGAAACATGTATCATTGTATATGAGAATGTATCCTGAAAGGTTGGACAGAGAATCAATGAGATGTACGCCAGTTTTGTTATTAATCTGTTGTCATTGAAAACCCGGTGTAGTTACATACATGTGTAGTCTCAATCCTTACTATTATAGATGGGAAAGTGAGTTTGTTTGTTTGTTTGTTCCGGTTTCACGCCATAACTACTAAACCGATTGAAATTTGAATTTTTGCAGACGTAAAGTTATAAGTCCGGATTAAATACTAGGGTACTTTTTATCCCGGAAAATTTCGATATTCCCGAGGGAAAACAAAAGAATTGGTATAGATGGCGCTGTGTGTATTGGTAAATGTCACATAGGCTACTTTTATCCTTTTGTGACGCGAGCGAAGCCGCGGGTAAAAGCTAGTCTATGTATATATGCGAAAAAATTTCCTCAATAGTCACAAATTGTGATCATAACATAATATTACGTCTTTTATCTCGAAAGTTTGGGCAGAGGTGCACATTACAGCACTTAACGCCAATTTTCACTATTTACCTCTATGTTATGAGTCCCATGTAATAGGGGGTAAACCTATAAGCCTGTAATATTGTGATCACTTGCACAATAAATCAGTGGGCGGCATCTTCTCTTAATCATAGGATATAGTCCTGTAATTCTATGGCAGAGAAAATTGACATCGAGTATGCTATCACAAAAATTTGCAAACCCAAAAAAAAAACAATGCGACGTAGGAATTGTAATGTAAAAAAACGTACACAGCGCCAATTGTTCTGAATTAATCCGCATCGTCCAGCGTAAATTATAAGCAATGAAAACTGTAATTTTGTAGGACGATACAGTTATACCGTGGAATTGAACTCAGAAAGGGTTGAATGTAATGGCAGAAAACATCTGGGTCCATTTTGTGAAATGTGTCGAACACCGCTTGCGTTATGCGAAAGTTTCTCAACCTTTTTGCTTTGAATTGACGATTTTTTTACATAACACATGACATCACGCCTTTTATCCTCGATGGGGTAGGCAGAGGTGTACAATTCGCCACTTATTCGCGACTGGACAAAGTAACACCCACTTTTCACTATTTATGTTATGAGTCCCATGTAATAGGGGGTGAGACTATTGGCATATACTGGGCACGATTCCAGACTCCGTGTTACTACTGATTTTTTTTACACCCAGTATTACTTTGTCCGACCCGGGAATCGAACCCGAGACCTCTTGCTCGGCAGCCGCACTTGCGACCACTCGGCCAACGAGGGAGTCTAGGTTTTTTATTAAATCTTCTATTACTTCTATTTTTCTGAAGGGTTAACAGAAGTGAACATACAATAGGTAAAATCTCATCATAATCATATATGAGTTTATAATAGTATACCATATCCAAGCAATTAATTACATCTACGATTGAACCTGCAAACATTATAATAGTTAGTTTTAGTTATTATTATGTAAGGTAGGTAATTTAATAGGTTAAGATGTAATGTGTACATATTTAGGCTTACTTTATTACATTTGTGTAGAATTTCTTTTTTGTTTTCGTTGTATTACTTCTTTTTAGTACTTAATATAGTTAAATATGTTTTTTTTAACTAGATTAAGCCTCACTGTCGAATTGGGAAAATCCTGTAATGAGAGTGTAGGAAGATTTTTATAATAAATAGATAAAATAAATAAATAATTCCACTTTACAAGGTACCCACTGCTAAAGAAATGACCTCTTAGGGGAACCGATATTGTCATTGTCCCCATGCCAGGGAGGTGGCTTGAGAATCTCAGTAAGGGAACCATAAGCTTGTCTTTTAGTAGCTTGTCATAGGACGATACTGAACAAGTTATAGCAGAAAAATAGAATAACCTGCAAATCAAAGCAGTTTCATTATCCCAGTTAGTGTTGAGAACCAGAGCAAATGACCTCGATTAGCGCTATTATAGCGGTATAAAAGTAGGATATTAACAGTAATAAGCTTTCATTGGCCTGTATAAGATTATTAGAAGGATATAGCTGTGTGTTAGTGCGTCTGTATGTCTTTTGTATGATGATAGCGTCTCGTATTAACGATTTTGTTAGTAAGATGTTATGGGCAGATTAAATGGTAAAGGTATGATTTTGCTTTCATTGTTTCGTCCATATTCTTTCAAGAAGTGGGTGCTTCATTAAAGAAAGTTTCCTGTTTATTTAGCGTTTACCTGTTTTTTTTAAGGGGGAATATCATCGAATGGCTTCTCCCACCTCGGTGATGCAGGAGGGAGTGTCAGACTCTTACTGACTAAAAACCATCCCGTTCCTACTCCTGCACTTCGAGCCGGAGCCCCGGCAACCCGTTAGGTTCTCCGCGGCTCCGTATTGGCATCAGCCCTATTGGGCCCCATCCGTGGTGGTCTGATAACTCTTTAGGGCGCGCGCGGAACATGACGCGCCCCACAGCGTTTACCAGTTTAATACGTACCGATGCGATATTGCAGTAATTCTCCTAACGAAACGAAATCGAAATGAATCCATTGAAGAAATACTTGTTTTCCCCACATTAGGATTTTGTCCAATGTCGGTGCGTTTACAAACATACAAGTTCACATACACATGACACCCAGACCCGAAACAATAAATCTGTGGATCACACAAAGAGTTGTTCCGTGCGGGAATCGAACCCGCAACTTGTTGCGCGGCAGCCGGTTGTCAAGCCACCGCACTAACTGTGCAATCTTTATAGTTCACACACTTTCTTGTTCCGTGGAGGACCAACGGAGAGTCCTTTACCCATCTGTACACGTTTTCAGGCTATTGTTGATGATGATGACCTTTGTTGTTACGTATTTGTTACGTGCATTTAAAATGTGCGTTAATGAAGGAAAGCTACTAACTAAAACTATCATAATATAACATCACGCCGTTCATCCCCGAAGAGTTAGGCAGCGATGCACATTACCGCACTAAATGCGTTATTGTACAATGTAACACCCATTTATTCACTTTGTGTGTTATGAGTCTCATGTAATAGGAGGTGAGCCTATTGCCATATACCGGGCACAATTATAGACGTGCTACAACTGAGATTATTTTTTAAAACTCTCTAATACTTTGCCTGACTCAGAAATCGAACTCGAGACTCTTTGTCCGGTAGTTGCACTAGCGACCACTCGGCCAACGAGGCAGTCTAACTAACATAATAATAATAATATATACAAAACAGTCAAAAAGTTACATAATAGTAAAATTTTTAGATACAGATAGACTGCCTTATTGGCCGAGTGGTCGAAAGTGCGACTGCCGGGCAAAGGGTCTCTGGTTCGATTTCCGGGTCGGGCAAAGTATTGCTGGGCTTGTAAAAACTTCAGTAGTAGCACGGAGTCTGTATAATATAAACAGTGAAAAGTAGGTGTTACATTAGGCATTAAGTGCCGTAATGTGCACCTCTGCCTACCGCTTCGGAGATAAAAGGCGTGATGATGTTATGTTTACATACAAAAAAAAATACATTTTAAACAACCAGCTTCTAAAAAAATAATTCAAACACATTTTTAACTCTACCAACACTACCATAATCTGTTTAATTAACTATTAGATACTACTAAAAAACCTGTTGCTATGGCATTCAAAATTGCACACGAAAAAAATTAAATCACTCGATCATTTCGTGATTCGATGTTATCAAGTCGTAACATGTTTGTTAATATTACGAACTGCGTATAATGTTGTCCTCGTGTAGATTACTCGTATCAGTACCAAAGTGGCTTCCCAAACGTACTACTTGTCTATCGCCACTATATAGATATTAATTCATTCATATTTTTGAGTCAATGTTGTCGTTTTTAATACGGCTTGTTTCTGTATAGTGTTTGGTTTGCTGTGGTGGATTCTTGTGTGTTATTGTTTTGAGTGTTTATTTTGAGTATGTGATTGAGTGAAAGTATATTTTTATGATTATCGGAGGTAAAAGAATTGGTTGATAAATTTTTATTTGAAGCTAAGTAGGAAAATGCATTCAAGATTTCTATTAGTTTTATGGATATTTTTTGACTACGCTTTGAATAAGAGGTGTAATGTTTTGCTAAGTAAACATGTCAGTTTCATTAAAACAAAACATTGATATGTCTTAACTCAATGATCAATTCAATGACATTGAACTCAATAAGTTTGTTTGCAACTATTAGACCTTCCTTGTATAAATTATCTTACGATTCAATTCCGTCAATTTTTAAAACAAATGTCTACCAGGGGTGATTGGGAACCAAGGTCACTTTTTTAGCACCAGCTCCTAGAACTGTAAAACTTAAAAATTGGACAAACATGACCTTAGTAAGACCAAAATCATCAACAACGCCATCTATGGTGAGCAAAACCGGTCGCGGCGTTACTAGAAACTGGCGCTAGTCTGTTGCTAAGGTAAACATTGGAGCAGACAGTACGTCTGGTTCGAAACCGCATTACACAACATTAGCACAGTCACTCGCTCCGATAACAAAAAATAAACACGATATTATCTGTGGGCAAAAACATTTAACCTTTTTATCAACATAATTCTGCTCTATCATCGTACATAATACTTTGTTTTGATGTAGGTATGTTTTTTAAATAATCCGCTATAGTAGCTTCTAATAATACTTATGTTGGTTTATTTAGCTAAATGTGTAAGGAATGTTGTAGTCATTTACAGGTATATATACTAAACTAGCTTCTGCACGCGACTTCATACGCGCAAACCCGTTTATTCCAGTTTTCATTATTGAATTTCGCTAAAAAGTAAAAAAATGGTATTGGTTAAAAAGTCGATTAAGCCGTTCTTGAGTTATAAATAGTGTAACTAAGACGACTTTCTTTTATATAGCTAGATATAGCTGGAATATGACTGAAAAGGTTATTTATTTGTAAATTGAATTTTTGATCAACTTACACTTTGTGACACGTAATCATGAACTCAGCCTTGAGGTCTAAGAGGCACCCATACAACTATTGTGCTTATTTGTCCAAATTATGCCTGCTACTCAGCGCCACCAGATTCACAGCATTTTGTTTTATGGGATAAAGCGGGAATTGAGCAGGAGAATCACCTGATGGTAAGCAAAAAGCGTCACCCATTGATATCCACAGGACTAGAGGAGTGAGAAGTGCGTTGTTGACTTTTTGGGGATTTGAGAATTTAGAGATCGGGCATGGGATGCTTTCGATTACGATTCTTGTAAATTCATTGAATTTGGAATTTTCGTTGAAATCTAATCAGTGTTTAACAGGTTGTTATTCCAGAATGGGGGCAATAAACTTATTGGTGAATAGTTATTATAAGTTTTATTACTGTAAGTATATTCCTACTATTAAATTACGGATAATAGAGATATTGTAGTTTGTATGCATATATTTTGCTAGTCTTCATTATGTCCTTAGTATGTCGTGTGTATCTATTTATGTGGATACACCTAAAACAATTTGTAGTGATTTTCAAGTCATTGTCATTATTAAAACTGCCTCGTTGGCCGAGTGGGCGCAAGTGCAACTGCCGGGCAAAGTATTACTGAGTTTCTAAAAATTCTCAGTAGTAGCGCGAACTTTGGAGTTGTGCTCAATATTATGTATGGCAATAGGCTCACCCCCTCTTACATGGGACTCATAACATAAATAGTGAAACGTGGGTGTTACATTGTACAGTGGCATTAAGTGCCGTAATGTGTACCTCTGCCTACCCCATCGTGATGTTATGTTATGTCATTATTAAAATTACTGTTCTCTGCAAATATTGCATGTCGCTAAAAATTAAACTACAAAATTTTAGTGTACAATAATTACTTAAGTATTAGTTAGTGTCACGTACAATGCGTTATTAAATATGATTGAGGATTATTTTATTCAATTGGATGATTTTTAGTATTTTATATTGAACTATAATATTTACTAAAATATTTTTTATTAACTAGCTTTCCGCCTGCGGCTGCGGACTTGTGATGTAGACTTATACGTATAAACCTTCCACTTGAATTAAAATCTATTAAAAAAATACTGCATCAAAATCCGTTGCATAGTATCTAAGCATACACAGGGACAGGAAAAGAAAAACAACTTTGTTTTATACTATTGAAAATCAATAGTATTGTAAATAATGGGAAAATAACAAAAATCCGAAAATCAAATGTGCGTAATTAGACACACAAAACTGATAACAATGACAAAGCAAATATTTAGTAAGATGCTCTGCGGATAGATAAGGCAAGTCGCAACCTGTCGGGTCTAAATATACTATTATCGTATCAGTTGTAAACACCGAGCGTATTATAAAAAGGAGCATTCGAATTGAGCGTTCATCAGTTACAGCTGAACATTCAACGAGATTAGACAAGTTGAGACAACCAAACATGTTGTCCACAATCATACTCGCCGTAGCCATCGTGGTACTAACGCTTACGTACCTCAGAGGCAAATACAATGAAAACTACTGGAAGAAAAGAGGAATAGTTTTCTACAATAGGAATAAAACCCTTGGCCCTCTGTGGGAGTACATGACTGGAGAAAGACCATTGTTCCAAGTGTTCAACGAACTGTATTGGAGATATGAAAAGGAACCTGTTGTTGGATTGGGCTCGCTCGACTCGCCCGGACTTTATGTAAAGGATCCAACCAATATTCAGTTCATCACACAAACTGACTTCCAGAACTTTAGCCACAGAGGAGTTACAGTTTTAGAAGAAGATTACCTGGCCAATAATGTTCTGTTTTTACACGGTCAGAAATGGAAAGTAATCAGACAGAAGTTGACACCGATTTTCACAACAGCAAAGCTGAAAAACATGTTCTACATTATTGACAAAAGCGCCCAGGACTTCATAGAACATTTGAAGCAAAACCCAGAAAAACTAAAAGGTGACACATACGAACATTTAAGTCATTTCTGTACCGCTGCTCTCGCGGCCGCTGTATTTGGAATCACGACAAAATCCACGTTTGATTCTCCGTTCCGTGTAATGGCAAAACAAGCATTAACTCCTACATTATTTTCAAACATTAGGTTCGCAATAAATAACGTCAGTGATAAAGTCTTTAGAGCATTGAGACTAAAATTCTTCAAAGAACAAGAGGGCTTCTTTATTGGAGCTATTAAAGAGGTACTCAAACAACGCAGATTAGATACTACTGCCCGACACGACTTCATAGATTTGTGTATTGATCTTCAAAAGAATGGTCCAATGGTGGATAGCGATACTGGATACACATTGGAACCTACAGACGAGCTACTGGCGGCTCAAGCGTTCTTCTTCTTCTTAGCTGGCATTGACCCCACTACTGCTGGAGCATTTGGACCTTTGTATGAATTGGGTAAACACCCAGAAATCCAGAAGAAGGTACAAGATGAGGTAGATGCTGTCTTCGAGAAATACGGCGGCAAGCTGACGTATGATGCAGTACTGGAACTGAAGTACACCGACTGTGTATTCAATGAGGGTCTTCGTTTGCATCCTCCAATTGGCTTCAACACGCGGCAGTGTGTGCAAGACTCCGTTCTGCCTGTCGGCAATGTGCCTGTTGAGAAAGGTACGAAGATATTCATACCTACATATGAGTTGCACCACGATCCTAAATATTTCCCGGAACCTGAGAGGTTCGACCCTGATCGCTTTGCTAGAGGAGAGGTGAGTGATACAATATATATGCCGTTTGGTATTGGCAAAAGATTGTGCATTGGTGTACGATATGCTCGTATGCAAATCCTGACTGCTTTCGCTCATCTCCTAAGAAACTATACACTGGTTACGCACATTAAAAAAGGCGGTGTACAGTATAGAAAGGAGCAATTCCAAGTGCGGCTCGATAACTGTGATATCGAGTTGGTGCCCAGGGAACAGTGATGGAAAAACGAATGTAGCTAGTATAATGGACTTGAAGATAGGTTACTTATGTTGTGAAATTGTGAAGTGTTTTTTACGTGAATAGCAAAACAATTTTAAATAATTGGTAGTAATACATGTACTAATGTACATATTTGTTTAATTATTCATACACTAAAAAAATTACAGTAAGTGTTTGTAAGCTGTTGTTTATATTGTTTATATTTTGTGTATCTATAAAAAGCCGCAATACGGTCTTATGATTTGTTTATAATATATATAGCTATGAATGAATGAAATGAATAAAATGTGATTGTATTTAAAATCATTATATTTTTATTCCTATATACCATACATAACATACCTAGACTCTTAGACAGCTGAGGATTAAATGGTAATAAAGTGAAATTGGAACGAGCAAGAAATTATCATTAATTTTAGTGTAAAATAAAATAATAATATCAAAAGAAAAGCATAAGTTAAGTATTATATCCATAAATAGTTAAATTATTCTTGGAAACAGTTGTAGAGAGTTTAGTGAGGCTATATTGAAGAACTGCCAAGAAACTTTATATCTATTATTTTTACAAGAATATCTTTACAAACAAATTCAAATCATGTATCTTAGGAAAATGTTTTACTAAGATACAACGCTAATAATTAATATTAATACAACAATAATAATACACGGTCATTAGTCACGGTCGCGGAGGTGAGAAGGACTGGCGAGAGATGTCGCAGGGTGTTCCACAGGGATCCATCCTGGGACCAGGTTCCGGACTCGCTCCCACACTTTGCATGAGAAAGTGCCCCCACCACGGTTATTTATTTATACAGTGAATTAGCAGATTTAACGCATTGAGCATTCACTAACAGTTAAGTGTTGGGTGGTGCACAAAGATAAAGTGATAGATGCAAAGTTATAGGAAAATAAAACAATTTAAATAAACATAAGTAAAGTGTAACAGTGTAATGTAATGTAACATAACATCACGCCTTTTATCTCTGAAGGGGTAGGCAGAGTTGCACATTATGCCACTGTACAATGTAACACCCACTTTTCACTATTTATGTTATGAGTCCCATGTAATAGGGGGTGAGCCTATTGCCATATACCGGGTACAATTCCAGACTCCGTGCTACTACTGAGATTTTTTAAAAACACAACTTTGCCCGACCTGGGGATCGAACCCGAGACCCCTTGCCCAGCAGTCGCACTTGCGACCACTCGGTCAACGAGGCAGTCTAACAGATAGAGCTAGATAAGTTTTATGTAATAAATTAGGACCTAAGGTACTACTTAAAAAAACTAATCGACATGTTTAATAGAGACACCATTCATATAAAAAAAAAGAAAGCAATAAAAAAAGAAAACACTTATTCAGCACCAAAAACGATGCAGCATATATCAAATATTTAAACTGTCAAACACCAAGCGGTCACCGGTGACCGTAACCTATTGTTCTATAATTGTGTCTACCTCTATAATGACGGTACTCAACAAGTTGAAAAAGACAATACAAAATAAAAGCAGAAATAACACTTTCAAAGGGAGACAAGTACCTATAAATTACAAAAAGAATCTTTATCTCTTCTATCGACGTTTTGTTCCCATCCAAATATCAATCAATCAGCAACCGATTCAATAAATAAATTATTAACTGATAAAACTTACTTCCTTGTTACCACAAGTGTAATACCAATGATAATTATTCGTATGTATGTGTTGAGATAAAGAATTTGATAGCAATTTGTTACTAGCGACGACCATTATCACCGCGTGAAATCTATTACGCAGGCGTCGGTTTTCGCGTCTAGCGTTATGGCAGACTCCCGCTGCTTGGACGCCGCAGGCTAATTTAAAATAGCTTTTTAAAAACATAACATCACGCCTTTTATCCCCGAAGGGGTAGGCAGAGGTGCACATTATACCGCTGTACTATGTAACACCCACTTTTCAACTATGCAGTATTTAATTATGAGTCCAATGTAAGTTGAGCCTATTGCCATATACCGGGCACAATTCCAGACTGAGAATTAAAAAACAAACCATAGTAAGTAATACTTTGTCCGACCCGGGAATCGAACCCGAAACCCGTTGCCTGGCAGTCGCACTTGCGACCACTCGGCCAACGAGGCAGTCGTTTTTTTATCAATGGTTGGTGGCAACACTTGGTTGGCGCGAAAGATACACGATGGTGGTTGCACCGTTGAGCGTAGTAAAAGGATATGTTTATTGTCAAAAGGAATTGTAAAACTAATAAAAATAAAGCGCAGTTGTGAGTTAAAACCTTCATTCAGTTTTTAGTATAAAGAAAAATTATTAGAAGTTACTGAAGCTGCAAATAGACTTCCCAGCTTAATGTGTCGAATGGAAAAACTTTTCCAAGTTAGTAGGCAAATACTTCAGCGTTTCTTTGTTTCCTGTACAAATTGAATATCATTTTCTTTTCTCTGTTCTTTATTTCAGTGGGGTTTGTCTTCTAGATTCCCGGGTTTTTCTGATGTCACATCAAGACCAGCACCATTTTGTTTCTAACGATCATTTGGCCCAAGGCAAGGCAAAAATACCCCACATGGGTATTTTTATACTTGCAAAAATCGAGCTGTATTGACTCTGTCTTGATAATCTTTTAAATTCAATAGATATACATACCACTTGCAAATTCCTTCTAAATAAAAAATGTCTTTTTTTTAAGGGGGGAAAATCATCGAATGACTACTCCCGCCTGTGTGAGGCGGGAGGGAGTGTCAGACTCTTACTGACTAAAAACCATCCCGTTCCTTCTCCTTCGCTTCGAGCCGGAGCCCCGGTAACCCGTTAGGTTCTCCGCGACGGAAAAAATGTCTACCTACTTATCCTGTTCACAACTTAAATACACTTTTAGACCAAATCTTGATAGCTTTGTAGGACCACCCAGAATGATTTAAGATTGTTACATAAAGTTTCCTTTAGAAGATAAAAGGGAATGTCACATCTATCTTGAACTTTTTTGTACTTTTTTTTAACTCGTCGAGTACCGTATTTATAGACACAATTAAAGAACAATAGGTTGCGGTCACCGGTGACCGCTTGGTGTTTGACAGTTTAATAATATACTAGCTTTTTCTAGCGGCTTTACCGACTTTCCCGGAATAAAAATAATCCAGACTATAATCTATCTCTGTATCAAATGTAATTAAAATCCGTCAAGGGGTTTCGTGATAGACTATATAATAGACATGTATACATACTAACATTTTTACGAACTTATATGTATATCGGCGATATCATTACAGATATTATTGTTTTTTAAATTGTTTGTTCAATGTCCTAAGAAGAGCAAAGAACCTAAGCAGAGGTATCAAGGATTTGGATTTTGGATTATGGAATATGTATGTAGAAATCGTGTTTAAAAGATCGACTGGTGTCAATAAATTATTAATTTTGTTATTGTTTCTTTGTTCTTGTCATTACTCTTTTTAGTTAATGAATATTGTTTTGTATTACCTATATAAGTAAGTAAGTCTTTTCTTTTTTTTACGGCATAAGCCGGCAAACGACCAGACGTACCACCTGATGGTAAGCAATCGGCGTCGCCCATGGACACCTGGAACACCAGAGGCGTTACAAGTGCGTTATCGGCCTTTTGGTGATTAGGAGTTTGAGGATCGTTGGGTATTCAGGGATTGGGGAAGGGGGCGTCTGGGAACCTCACTTACAGGATGAAACATAACGCAAGCGTTGCTTCACGTCGGTTTTCTGTGAGGCCGTGGTATCACTCGGGTTGAGCCGGCCCATTCGTACCGAAGCATGGCTCTCCCACACTTAAAAAAAGTTTGTGCCTACTGTCAAATAAATGCTTTTCTTTCTTTCAAAAGGTTTATGTTTAATTTATTAAAAGCACCTTTGTCTGCCTGCCTACTGTCTATCACGTTATTTTAACTTATACAACATCTATCTAAAACTTTAATGAACATTTTAATAAAATAACTACCTTAATTAAAACCATTTCTTCCCACGACTATAGACCTTAGACCTTCACTAAAAACTTTTCCAATCAATCATTAATTAGTACAAAAACCATAATATGAATGGACCCTCGCAGTCCATTTGCCAATGAGAGGTTAATTGATTGATCCAACCCGTGAAATTGCAGGATTGGTCTCCATTAAATATTCAATTATTCTGTGTAAGGGATAAGATGGGAACCGATCTGAAATCGAGGAAATTACTAGCAGATAATTAAGTTCTGATCTTTTATGTAGGAGGCTGAGGTTAGTATTAGATTACGTTGAAGAGGTTTGTACGTAGATGGATGGCTATTCCGGTCTTAAGACGTTTTATTTTGAAGTCATCCAATGACTTTTCCCAGGTGAGACGAGAGGGAATTCAGAATCTTACTGACTAAAAACCACCTCGTTCCGACTTCTGCACATCGAGCCGGACCCCGGAAACCCGTTAAGTCCTCCACGGCTCCGTATCGTCATCAGCCTTATTGGGCTCCAGCTGCGGTGGTTGCACGTACGCACGTCGGGCGGCAAATCACCCGTGCTCGCCGTCCGGAGTAGTGGTTGGTAAACAGCCAGTTTGACTGAGTGCGGTAGCTAAGCAAGGGGTCTCCGGCTCGATTGCAGTTTAAAAGGGGCAGGTTTATTTCAGAGGGCCCGGTTTTTTGATATGGTTTTTATTAAATGTGTCAGGGACTTCCCTTGGTTTTATTTTTTTAAACGTTGCCCCACTCTAAGATTTTCTCCCGTGTCGTGGGTGCGTTTACAAACATACAAGTTCACATACACAATGACACCCAGCCCAGAAAGAACAATTTGTGGATCACACAAAGTGTTGTTCCGTGCGGGAATCGAACCCGCGACACGTTGCACGGGAGCCGGTTGCCCAGACATAGATAATAGATACAAGATAACATACGCCACCAAGGGAAAGAGAAGTGTTAAAATATGTATTCGACTCTATCCATACGCGACACTATTAAACTGTCAAACACCGCGAGCACACCGGTGACCGCAACCTTTAATTGTTGTTTTTAACCATTGTTCTTTAATAGTAATTAAGTCTTTAATATAATGACGGTACTTAAAGTGTTAATGCTAAAGTGCTATTCAAAAAAGATCTAAAAAATGTGTTGTTCACTAAAGGAAAATGCAGCAGTTTTGTTTATTTGAAAAATAGTCGTACGGAGGACGCGACGCGACGCCAGGACTTATATGCAGGAGATAGTAGCAGACACATTATTCGCTGTAGTTGTTGTAAATAGCATGCAATATAGGTACTATAATATACTCAACTGAACTAAGTGGAGTGATGTAAAATAATAGTGGGAATAA